GGCAAACTGTTGGACAAATCAAATCTTGTCTGTATCCTTACACACAAGCTCACTCAAACTAGCCCTGTTTTTTTGTGCCTTTAATGTTGCTAAAAGTTGCTTATTTTTATTCAAGAGACGGAAATACTAAAATGAAACTGGTGAATTTCAGCAGTCTTAGATGAATGACATTTATCTGCATTTGAAACAATAGCAATGTGTCTCTGGGTTCACTGGTTCATTGATTACGGCGTTTTTTTCTTCACTGAGGCTCAGGACGCTATTGTATCTGAACACAATGCACTCACACCTGGTATCCTCTGTGAATTTAAACATAAGGTAAAACACTGCTGGCTTGTCAATAAGCTTCAAATGGAAGGACGACCTCCAAGGATGGTGCAGGTTTTATTGTCCAAAGCGATCAAATATTAGAAGTAGAAAATTCAAAAATATGAAATATAAAGTGAAAAGAATATCTTAAACCTTGCCAAAGTACAGACAGCATGTGAGCAGGGAAGTTTTAATGCAGTTAATGCTGTTGGGCCACAAAGGCTTCCCCTGCCATTCAAATCCTGCTCATCATGCATCCCAGCTGCACCTTTTTATGGAAACAAATTAGTCAGGACTAGCTGGCCATTATCGGGACCTTTAAAATGGCTGGACTTGTTGTAACTGGAAAATCTAACATTGTACCGTTAATAACATTGTTAAATTGGTGCTTTGGATCATCTCTATTGTTTTTATTGTCTCTTTTGCAGATACTGATGCCAACTGATCATTTTATGCCTCCGTGATCCTCACATGTATTACAACTAAGCAGTTTTGTCCACCTGAAACTGCTTTGTGCTCAGCATTTCATTTGCTTCTCCTTCCTGCTTATTTGATTGCTTGGTTGCCTATTTGTTTGCTGTTTTATAAGTTATTATGTAGTTGGACTAAAACTGCACCTCTATTTCTTTTATTTTTTCCAAAGACACAAGATACAGTAATTTGTTAATAAAGGCAAATGATACCGATTGGTGCGTGATGTGCTCCGCGCAGACGCTGCAGACGCTGCAGACGCTGCAGTCTCTCATATTTTGTAAATCTCACAGTAAATGTATAAGATTACAGCTTGTGTCAGTCAGCTGACCATTCTGACAGATTATCATTTTTGTAAATTTATATTATAATATATATATATATACTTTTTAATATATACTTCAGACAAAAAAAAAACAACAATTGCTAACTTTTTGGCTTTAAATTGACACGAGTTAAAATAGACATTAGTTAAAATAAGTTACCGTTTAGACTTAAAAAAAATCATTGGTTTTGTCTCAGGGTCTGGGTGGTAACTTTAGACCCCTGGACCTCTGTTGGACTCAGTTTAACACCACACAGAGGGGGCAAACAATACCATTTTGTCTATTGTCAAAAGCTTTGTCATAGCTTTGTCATAGTTCTGTGTCACCATTCCATACATGTCATGTGCTGGGGAAGTGTAAAATGCATGTCTTCCCTTACATGGTCTTTATTCTAGCTTTTACATGAGCACAATAACTTTATTTGCCTGTCAGGAGAGACAGCCTTTAACAGAGGTTCTTGATGCAGGCTCCTGTGATAGCTCCCTCCGGCTGAAAAATGGACAGCACCATGACAAAAAAGGAGGTGTTCCAAGATTTTAAATAATTTAATAAAAATGTCTGAATGGCTGCAAGACCTTCTGCTCCTTGTGTTTGCTAATTGAGCATTGCCCAGTCAGCCTACTGGGGTCACACTGATAGTGCTGAATAATTCACAGATGACCTTACACCCTGCACTGAGTGAGGGAAGGGAGTATTGCGGCAGAGCGAAGAAACTGCCGGGCCCGACGCTGAATGAAGGCGTGCAGCACGGTTATGGGCTAAATATGAGATCTTAAGAATGTTGGCAGGAGATAAAAGCAGAAGTGAGCTGTAATTCAGGACATGTCAATTCTTTGGCCTTATAACACAGGTCCTCCAGCAGTCATACAAGTCTGTACTTTGTCTTTGAAATGATCGTGTCAATACATTCTATTTCTTGGCACGGAAAACAGTGCTATGCTTAGGGTAGAAATTTCTCAATGGAATATGTTAAGACAACTCAGAGTTCCGATATTAAAGAAATTAAATGAATTCTGACAGTGTTTAAAATATTCTTGGCCTCAGTCCCAACGTTGCCATAAAAATTCATTTTCTTGCGTTGCGTGGGTTTGTTTCTTCTCCTTGTCTTTTTTCCCTCCCCCTGTGCTGTTAACAACTGTGTTTCAAGCAACGCTGGATACGACACTTAAAACGAATCCAATGGCAGTTACTTTACCGGTAATTCGTTTTAAATTTTCCTTTCCGGTGCGGTATTGTCTGCAGTCTGCAATTTACTGAGCAGTGTGTGTGTGTATGTGTGTGTAAAAATCGTAATACTGATATGGCATTTATTTGTAGCCACAGTCCCAGTGAACATGTCAACTATTATGTAAACAAATCATTAAAAACGTAAGACAATGCACATCAAATTAAATGTTATTACCATCTTTATTATAAATATCAGAGACGTGTCCACCGTCATTAACGCATTACGTTATTAATATTTACTTCTTGCAGCAACAGAAGCCGTTATATTAATATTTCGATTATGATCAGAAAGATATTTTAATTGCCTTGCGCCCGTAGCCTCCGGTATAGGTTCCGGACCCTCGCGACCCTGAACAGGACAGAAAATAGATCGATGGATGGAAGATATTTTAATTAAACTACCGGCTGCAGATTGCATGTATTTTTCATTACTAACATCTTGGCGAACACTTTCTGAGTTCTGAGTTGCCACACTTTAATTCACACAAGAAACTGACTTTTCTTTTAAGAGCTGTCAGGTTATAAAGTTACATTTTATCGACTGAAACACACCAGGCAACCAGGCAAATAATCAGAAGATATTGGTGTATTGTTCGTTTTGTGTGTGTTTTTTTTAAATAAGCTTGAAAAGATTCAAGCCGTTGTTACTAGTATTGCAGAAACAAGTATTCCGATGTTATACAAACCAGCGACCTGAGTAACAGGGATGTACTTGTACCACATGCAGTTACCAATAAAAATCTTATACGTAGTAAATAATCTCACAAACAAACAAATAACTAAAGTTCCACTAATTAAGTGTACAGGTTAATTAATCTACACACGTATCATTGTCTTTTTCCTCTAGCATATCATTTATTTTATATTCCCTGTAGATGGGTGCAGATCATCTGAATATTACACAAAAGACAATATAAAAGTATATTTTCGAGTGACGGCGGCAAGAACCTGCATGACGTCAGCTAAACTGATCGAATGCCAAACGGTTAAAATCAATTGGTTTATTAAGTCTCTGACTATTAGTTTCTTTTCTTAAGCTTATAGCAGAGTTACATAGCCTATCTCACGTTTTCAACCGCGCAGTGTGTGATCTGAAGTGTCACTTGTTTAATATGAAATTCGCACATAGTCAATTAACGCCACTGGATATCAGAAAAAAAACAAATGTGGCCTAAACAATAAAACAATCTGTACAACTACGTGGACTGATCAGCAAATATTTTTAAAAAACGGTCTCTGAAATAAACGAAAAGGTTTTCATCAAACTTGGTAAGCGCAGGGCACTTTGGTGTGCGACCATATGCCATACAGCGGCGGAATAACTCCCTTGATGAACTGTTCGCGTTTTAACGGGTGGGAAAATAATAACAGTAATTCTGATATAATGATAATAATAGTTCAGGCCCAAAAACATTATGAGGAGGAAACCCGGCCTGAAACCATCGGGGTAAATAGAATATATATTTCAATATCAAATCGCTAGTTTTTTTGTGAGGAGGATACCATGCGGCATGTTTGATTTAAAACCACAATACTGGCAAATATCCCCCCCCCCCACACACACACACACAAACAGAACTGTGCTCCATAATTTAAGTAATCTAAGTGTTAAAATATTTTACTCATTTATTTTCCATAGGCATCGGCGAAGGCTGTGGTTTTTCGTTAGTTAAACAAAGTGGGACTGGGTGAGTTTAAAATGGGTAAACAAAGCTACATTAGACTCTTACGTCAGATATTCACAATGAAATAAAAATGAGATCAGTTAATGATTCAATGTTCAAAATCCATTCAGCCATTATATTTTCAGCAACCGCCTACCTGGAAACTTCCGATCGTATGTAATAACTCTTTTGCACAACGTTGAAAAAAAAACATTAATGCAAGGTTTATACAATTAATGTGAAATAACTTTTTAAAAGACGTAGACATTTGTCTGTGAATGATAATACCGTAAAAAAATAATAAAACATACATATTAAATAACACAGTATAGTATTAAGACGCATTGTGGAATTTCCTCATGGAAAACCATGTTATCACACGTAGGCCCACATAATTGGACACGCAGTTTATGACAAGTGATACCTATCGCAGTTTTATGCGCAGCTGCATATTTGTTAGGTGTATACGATTTATTATTGTAATAATAATTATTTTTATCATTATTAGTAGTAGTAGTAGTAGCAGAAGTAATCGTAGTAAGAAAAATAAAACATTTTAAATTATTGAGTTGTTCCATGTCATAATTTGAATTTTAAAAGATGTTTTCCTCCATTCCAAGTACTTTCATTTTTCATTTATCATCTATCTCTCCCGGCGTTCGGCCCTTACCTTACCTCAATGCTCAGCGGCATTTTAAATTTTGCTCGGTCATATTTCGGCCCACGGGCAATTGTTTCATCCACACACCTTAATTTCTAATTCTTGTTTGTCGCTGTAGTTTTCTGTGAAATGTATACGACGGTCATTGTTGAAATAATGCAAAGACAGAGACAGTTATTCTAAGCAGGTTCATTGGATGTTCTAAAAATCTAGTCCATGTGCTAAGTAGCGAAATGCACGTCTTTCATAAGCACCCTACACTTTACCATGGCAGGCACGTTCGCATTTAGGCATGGAATCCACAGCAAATTTAACAAATGGGTTTTGAAAATCAAAACCAAAATATTGATTTGCTAAAGTTGTCATAGAAATCATTTGGCGTCAGTTTATATCACTGTTCCCTATCACATCATGACATTTCCCCGCAACTGTAAGATTCATCTTGTCTGATGTCTTTATTTTAGTCAATTAAAAAATGTAAGTTCGCTATTATGCAAGCTGAACTGGGTTGTGTTTATGAGACAGTCCGGGGGAGGGCCGCATTGATTTGGCGTGGCTTTGACTTGGGGTCTTACAATTGACAATTGAAATTCCGTGAATTAAGTAGTTCGCAGTGAGCCCTCCAGGGTAACTTATTTAGACATTACATAGTCCAACGTATGGCTATTAAAATAAACACTCTTAAAACGTACCATCCAATATCATGTGTGTAAAAGGTGCTGAATAACATGTAATGCGTATAATGATATCTACGTTTCTGTCCCCTAACGGGTGAATCGACAGCGCAGATTTCAGAAAATTCACTTATTTCACAATGATCCAAAAATCAATACAAACGCATGAGCGATATTAATTACTATTGCCCATAAAACAGCATGGCCGCCGAATTCCAGAATACATAGGGCATTATGGGAATTTAACGTTCAAATTGAATTTTATGCATACAGCAGGTGTGTTCTTTAAAAGTCGCGGGCCATGTCTTTGTTGGTTTCCAAGGACTGAAAAAAACGCCGTTGTCCTTTATCTATGCATCTGAACAAGGCTATAGCAGATGTACATGGATTAGACCTTAATGATGTTTAAGTCGCTTTAATTTAAACCTGAATACTAGCACGACCCATTACAACAAATTAAAGAACAGTTCAGACAAACACATCACGTTATCCAAGACACAGAGAACACCGCGTATTTGCCGTAGGCTACGTGCTAGCTTATTCGCGTCTGCAAGCACCCATATAAGTCCCTTAAACGCACATGTCCACCTCCCTCCACGCGCCCTCATATTTTGTTTACAAACATTCAGGTGAACTGAAAGCAAAATAACAAACGAGTGAAGACTGCTTGGTTAAAATTATAGTGTTTAGTTATCCAATTACATCAAACCACATGGTTTAAATTACCGTTAGTAGCAAAATTTTAGCCTTCATGACAAGACACAGTCTAAACCAAGTCTGAAGTGTATTTGTTTATTTGTGGAATTGTTTGCATGTATTTGGATTGTATCCACTTAATTGCCGGTTTATTTTTTTTTATATCATTTAGCTACTCCTCGCTGCTCTCGTGCCCTACTCTCGTCGGTAAACTTTGTGATGTAGACTACAAAATGATATCGTGAAAGGAATATTACTATAGTAATACAGCGTTTTACGCATATGCTGAGTGTCCAAGTAACAGAATGTAAGAATGCATTCATTCGAATAATTCGACAGTCCAATTTAATATTAATCAGAACTGCAACCCCTCCTATTTTGTACGTGTGATAAATATGCCAGTAAAAATAATGGGGTCATTTTAATATTAAATACAGGAACAGTTTATGGACGTATTATGAAGAAATACAACTTAAGAAGTTTTATGAACGCAGGATTCCATCTGCTGTATACCGATTGTTAATGCTATATTCTAAATATAATGATGCATCTTTTACAGTATTGCGATACACATACGTGGTTCAGTGTATGTTTTTTATCATAGTTCTTGAGCAAAATACTATTTACAATTCGATATTTATTGTGACATAAAGGGATGAAAGGCAGTGTTCTTTAACATAGGTTAATAAATTTAATTGGGCTTGCCCCTGGGGTCGGATGACATAGTACGTCCTCGTAACCAATCAGAATCCGAGCTGGTGAAAGGCAAGTGGGGTTGTGACACATCGGATCCATATGTATGAAGTGGCTAGAGAAATTGTGAAGTTTTCCCATGATTTCAGCGAGATTCCCAGTAAACTCTTTTTAACTTGCTACGGTGAAACTTCAAAGGATCTGGAAATATATTGTAAAATAGTGGAATATTTTTTCGTTTCCAGTTTTTATTAGTTTTATTGATTTTGAGATGGATCGAGTCCAAGTTTCCTCTCGCTAGTGGCAATTACTTTATGCAGCCTTTCCAGCGCGTCGTTTTTATGGACTCCTCGATCGATGATGACTATGAGTTCAATGCCTGATAGTCTGATTGCTTCAGACCCGTCCAAATCAGCCTTTTTAGAGTTTGGACACGGAATCCCCGCACACCAGCAGCACTCCCCCGGACTGTCTCATAACCACTACCCAGTTCATGGCTTGCACGCCGGCGGACACGCGCAGCACGAAAGTCCCTTCTCTTCGACGGCGTCCTCCTACGGTCGGTCGCTGGGGTACCCCTACCCGAGCACGGTAAGCACTCACCACCCGAGTGCTTACCTGTCTTACCAGCACAATAGCCACAGCAGCACTTTGGGGCACACGCGGATAGAAGATACAGGTATGTACTTAAGTATCAGTTTGTGTATAAGTAATGTTTTATAGTTACTGTGACGGTTAATGTGTCAGGGTCGTTTCAAAATAAAGTGACTGCATTACAGTGGAGTTATACAATAATTGTAAAAAATCCTGTGTCGCCCGCGTTATTTATTATTATTATTATTATACAATTATTATTAACAGTTATTATTAATAGGCCTATTACTGACGCGGCACAATACCTTACATCCACACTTAAACACATTAAAAGAAATAAATGTGAAAAAAATTCCGTGCTCACGCCCGTTTTTGCTGCATACGGAGTGTATTTTAAGATAAATAATGATAAAATAGAACTGACGTAAAGCATCTAACACTAAGTGAAATAACCAGTTGTACCGTTTAAGTTGCATATTTAGTTAAATTTTGCCGAGTTCTACCCAGATATTGTTCATTTTTTAAGTCTTTCCCAAGAGCAGTTAGGAAATCAGATGTTAAATCCTACGTACAATCCAATAGAGTATAAGCTTATTAATTGTAACAATTTCATTGATGTCCGCAATTGATGATATTGCTGTGTGATAGCTACGTGAAATGTTACTACTTTTTAGATTAATGTGGATTTGGGATTCCGCGTGTATTAAGACTGTATAAGATATTCAGTATCCAGAAATAGCCAAAGTTACAGCACTACCCCATTACAATAGCGAAAGTTTATGGTATAATACATTATAGGTAGCTTTGTACGGTTTACCGTAAATGCTGGTTTAATATTAATATTTCAAATTTAATTTTAAACTTCATTAAATGAACCGTTAAATGCGTTCAATCATGCACTTGCTAAAAGAGAATTCGTAGTGAAGTTAACAGGCCTTATAAAAAAAATAACAAACCACTGTGTAGTGCTTTGTTTGGGACTTTATTATTATTATTATTATTATTATTGGTGTTAAGGTTGGTTGTAAATCGCCTGAACCTAACACGACTTTCTAGCCCTTTCGCCAGAAGTACCCTCATCGTCTTTAACTCTCTGGAAAACTTAGAACATTGATCCCCTGCCTCGAGAAGAATGCTTTCATTGTACGACTTTTGCCCAGTTCCTGATGAACAATAGATGTTTGTTGGAGAATCGTATGTTCTGCTTTGATAAACATGTGCAATTGGGTGTTGCAAATACCAGGCTCAAAAAATGATAACACCTTAAGTGGAAATTAATATATAAATAAAACACACCATTTATTGCAGGTAATGAACATGAAAGTGAAAATGAACAATAGTATTATACCTGTAAGTCGACTTTTCACCGAGTAAGGCAACGCATTCAAGTTAAAGTTAAAAAAAAATCTCTTGGTGCTTTTGGTAGACTTGTGAATCGCCTGATCAAAATCAATAGGCCAAAAAGAGCGGGCAGCGGTTATATCATGCTTTAGATTAAGTGCATAACATAATTTGGCCTATACAGGCTAATTTGTGGTTTGCAAGTCCAGCTAAACAAACTATTTTGTTATATAGCCTACGGGGTACTACTAGAAATCGCATGGGAAAATAAATGCTACAAAACCAAAGTAATTCTATCGTGGAAACGGCGAGAGTTGGCTTATTTAAATTCCTTTAACTTTCCATCTCATAATTAATACGAATTTTATCCGGGAGTATTTACAAGCGACACCGGTGCGCGGCCTTGCCCCTTTGTTTTAGTGCAAGACATCCATCCATCCATTTCCACAACTGTCCATATAGGCTATTTCATGACTGCGGCAAGCCAACTCCACTGAGCTTATTTGCAGCAGTGTGACAAAATATTCTTATTGAAGTATCATTATTGTAATAAATATCGTTTATAGTAATTCTTACTTATTTCCTTTTTTTTTTTGAAGATCACGAGAAGCCAACCGTCATCGAGAACGGCGAAATTCGACTGAACGGCAAAGGCAAGAAGATCCGCAAGCCCCGAACCATTTACTCCAGTCTACAACTGCAAGCACTGAACCAGCGGTTTCAGCAAACCCAGTACTTGGCCTTGCCCGAGCGCGCAGATTTGGCAGCTAAGCTGGGCCTGACTCAGACACAGGTAAAAAGAAATAATAAATATTTTAAATGTCAGCGGAATGTATCTCTGTTTTGGGAAAAATGCGGTCTTCTCTATGTAGATTCTTGCAAATTAGGAAGGTCAGGAAAAAAATTACCGTAAGTTTTCGTATCGTAAGAGTAACCTATGTTATTGCAGCTGAGTGGTATTGCGTTATAAAATTACTGTTTTTGATATAAATCCAATTTCCCTTGTGTAAAAAGGAAATGTCATTACTCTGATTAGCTATTACTTTTCACTGTTAGATATATCAACGCCAGTATTTGCCTGTAACGCGTAAACTGGATGATATATTTATACTGTAACAACTGTACAGTCATATTTAAACCGTATGCTCTGTTCTAAAAAAAATATTACGAGGGGCGGAGGGATAAAACAAACATGGCTCCTGTTTGGTATATAAATAAACTCTCTACTGATTGGTTATCAAAATGTGAATCTATGTAATCTATTTCCTATCAGATTAGGATATAATAAGTGACGTTGCGTGTGTTCTTTTTCTTTTTTAGGATCCACTGTGAATAGCAGAATAGCTATGTTAAAAGTAAACACTTGTTGTTCTACTTTTATTTTGAATAGTTGTTGTGGTGTTTAAAAATAATATGATTTTTCTTTATTTGTCGTTTATTTATGCGAGGAACACTGCAGGGTAGTGGATATCAGTAGCGTTTCTGGGGAAGCACAGACAGTGTGGTCTCCTGCACATTACCGGATTGTCATGTCCCACTGACCGTGTGATGCAGCTTTATAAATATTTGGTACACGATTCCTCGTGGCCTTGAAGGAGCCCAAGTGCTGCCTATAATACCACATTGCGTTACTGGTTTAGGTGTTCTGTCGAGATTATCCTCTAATTATTTCTTGGTAGCCACTCGCTTTCCTTGCGGATTGTTAAGGTAAACTTGTGAAGTGCTGGCTCTTGTTCCCTAAGCTTTTAAGCTGTATTTCGTTGGAATGTCCTTTTAAATGATTTAACCCCCCTCTTGAAGTGCAGAGAGTGCTCTTTCTCCTGAGTCGTCATCGAGAGTGAGCAGAGAGAACGGGCACAAGGATGCAAACGTGCACTAACGTGCGTTATTTTTTTTTAAAGTTACATTGACCTAACAACTGCGATGGTTACCTGAGCAAAGTATCAACACTAAACAAATACAACGCCTAAGTAATAAGTTAATAAGAAGCACCAGAAACAAACCTTACTATTTACATTGATTTGTTGGATGAGGTACAGTATAAACATTGCAAACAAATGGGATTTGTTTACATGTGGAGATTGCACTGACATCTCAGAGTGAATCATTTGAGAGAGGGAAACCTTGTCTTGGGATGAAAACCGTTTGCAGTCTGTGGGAAGAATGTATTGCAGCTTGAACAATGTTGTGCTGAAGAGATCTCATTCTAAACGTATGTGAAAGCTGTGAAAAGCATGTATAGTTAGTATCACGTGTATCTGGTAGGAATTTGAAGGGAAATCATTTAGCTGAAGTAACTAGAATCTTTGCATAAATTATGTTGCAGGGAAACAAAATCTCTTCTGTAATTCCAGATGCACACAATGCAGAGGAAGTAAGTGAGGATTATAGAAATGTCCTTAAGGATTCTGAGAAGATACTTTGATCAGTCATAGTATAGGTTATCCTGCTAACTTTCTTGTAGTGACAATACTTACAATTACAGAAGGACATTTAAATGCTCTTTAAAGTAGTTGAGGTTACAGTATTTATGCTCTAGACAGGCTGCTGTTCTGCTCCAAAAAGAACTCATTCTCAGGATCTCAAGCAGTAATGTCAGAAATCAACACAGTTCTAAGAGCTAAATGCATATAAAATGGGCAGTTATTTCTTTAAAGAGTGGGAAGATCTGTATGAAATGGTCAGGATTTTGTGGCATTACATTTGCTATTACTTTCATGATGTCTTTCATCATGATTGAAGCCTTGGTTTGTGTAAAGGATTTTGTTTTAATTCTCATATAATCGGCCCTGTGCTGAGGGTGAAAGCCACACTTAGGCTGTATTCTGTCCAATGAATCTCAAATGCATGGAAATCTGGTTTTGCGGTTATCCCAGTGCTCGGGCAAATTGGACTTTTAACTTTAGCATTAGAAACCCGGCTAATGATAATCATTTACCACATTTCCATAGTGTGTGCCTGACACTGTCGTTGCCAAATGAGCCACAAAATCGCTTTGACACCTTCCATGCTATAAAGCATTTGACATATGGCAGATGTTTAGAAGATGCTATTGTCTTTTTTTTCTTTCTTTTCATGCAAGATATAAGTTCCGGAATCTGAACTCTTGAGACTACAGTGTAGATGAGACTTTTATAGACACTGATAGCCCTGGTCCCTTTCATTCCGCACCGTGTTAATTTCCAGGCATTGCCTCAGTTCTCTCTGTTGCCAAATGCCACCCCAGTCATCTTAGACGAAAACTAGCCCATGGCAAGGCCTCGTTCCCCTGCTGTCACGCACTTCAGTGGGCACAGAGGGGTTAATGAAGAGGCAGTGGTGAGCAGATGCCCGGTGACACAGGTGACATGTACAGGCATGTGTGGCCCCGGTCACGGCACCGCCGCTGCCGCCGGTCGTTGTGTGAGCATGCATTCGCCGCCGGCAGGCTGTATGTGTGCTGGGTCCCTGTTTTTGGCTTCAGCCTCCTTCCCTCAGCCTAAACACAACCAGCATAATCCGCCCTGTGGCCGCCTGTGGACCACAGGTCCACTGGAACTGTCATTAATTTGACACTGCTCTGCTTCCTGATAATCCACAGTGCTTTAGTTAAGAATACAGGCTGGTTTAAATTGTTTTAAGTTACTTTTTAAGTGATTGAGTGGGATGATCAAGATTAGGGATTACATGTGGGTATGTAAATATTTTTTATTTCTAACTTGATATAGCACAGCAGTTTATAGGTTATATGTAACATTTGCAGTTATCAGATGTATGTGAAGTGCATAGGGTTTACAAAGGATTTATTACAGATTTCTCGAAAGTTAAATCTTTCCTTGGTTTATGTCCATTTACCAAGATTGTTTCCCCTTTGAATAAAAAATTAACAATATTTTTCTTTTGGTTTCTTACTCAGCTTATTACTTATTGTTCTGGTGATCTTGGAATAATCAAAAGCTGTTTCTTTTATTTTGAGCTTTCTGCTTTTCAATATGGCTTTAAATAGAATGTCATTGTTTTCAATGGAAAAACAACTTCACCTGAGCTCATAACTTTTATGGTAATTTGAATCAGATTTGTCTTTTAATAAGCCGAATACTGTGCTTCTGGTCTTGTACTAAAGTTAACTTGAACCACACGCTGGGTATCTCACCTTGATACCAGCCGACGACTAGCCGATCTGCCACATAATCTAGATGGCTTGCATATCCTTCAAACTTAGTAACCAGGCAACCTTGTTAAAATATAAACAGAAGCAACCCCAGCTGTGTTTGTAAGTATGTAAGTCTTTTGAATTTACATGGATCGAGTTCTCAGGCAACACTCATTTTGTGTTGCATTAGAGAGTCGACGTACAGTGGAACTAATAATACCTGGACCAGGGTGATTTCTTTGTGTTTTATTTTTCACCTGTGGGTGGTTTTCCTGTCCCGAACGCATTGAATATTGAAGCCAAAATGCGTATTCAGAATGTGCGCCATTGGGTTCACAAAGCACTCAGTGTGCCATTTTGGTATCACGGCGTACCCTCCTTTCCAGACACACGCCTGCCGGATCGCACGTACCACCGCGTCTGTTTCGAGGGCGTTTGAGCCGAGCTCCCTTCGCAGCAGAAACGATGGCGTCTACGGCCAGATGCGTCGCGCAGATAGTAATATTTATCCTGGAGACGTGAAGGTGCTGTTTGGCCATCTTTACCTTCTAACCTGCCGCATGGCTTAATGAGCCTCATCCAGTGGGAAGGCAAGGAGATCCCAGCGATAAACAAGCACTGGCCCCCAAATCAGAAATGTGACTGGAGTTCTGTTGTTAATGTAGCCTATGATACCTGGGATAGAATATTTGTAGGCGTGCAGTAATTACACATGCAACACAGCAGCGTCATTGTCAAGACTCTACAGCTGTTCTAGTGAAACTTGGAATGAAATTAATATAACTCAATAACTGAAGAAATTATACATTATTTTTTTTATCTTATATGAGTCTGCTTAGCGATCATAAACCTCTTTGAGCATTGTTTTTTAATTCTTTAATATTATGCTTATGTCAATAAAAACAAGTCGATTAACTCTGTTTAGATGCCAGGAAAAAATGGGACAGAAATAAGCAATATGGCAAGCATTTTCCAGCTATTTGATCTATAAACACGGCTGAAGACGTATAAACAAGTGGCACACTGCAGATGCCTTGGCCTGAAATCTGCCCACACATGTCTCTTCGGCGCAGAAGGCATCCAAGCCACATGAAACCCCATGAGGTCGCCTGCAAATGGCACCGCTGTGACTCCAGTCTGCGCGATGTTCGCTTTCTGGGCTGCGAGCGACGAGCTTCACCTCGACTCCTTTAATGGCGCTCCGAGAGGCAGCTCTGAGCAGAATTTTCTTGACACCCTGTGGCTTTGCTCTGGTGAAAATGCATTGGTGGTTTGGGAATGTCAAAGTGGAATTATGGGTAACTTTGGCTTCGTCTTAAATGAATGTTACATTTTTTTTCCGCAGGAGAGCCATTCACCCACAGCCATTTGATTACAATTACAACTACAGTGCAGATACTTATAAAAAAACATATGGCAAGTGTGATTTTTATTGGAATTATTTGGTGTGCCCAGTTTGAAAAAAGACTAATATAGAAATTTTCTGCTATTTCAGCTGTCCCCATCAATTCACCTAATTAAATATTCAATTAAATGCACCCTAACATCACTCCAGTGGATTGTTAATGTGCTGTATGCTGCGGTTTTTATAAATGACTTCAGCCCAATGTTAAAATGTTTTTTTGACTCCAGCTATTGTCCAGATTGTGCAGAAAAGAGTCATAAAAGCCAGATCAATCTAGCCTGCTGTCTCGTTTACAGAATGTCTCCTGGCAAAACATTTTGGGTCAATATTTTTACTATCTGCCTACAGTGATCCACGTGTCAGTGACCCCACAACAAAAGTCAGAGAAGTCAATAGACATGTGGGCTGCTAATGAGCATCACAGAAGTGCTAGAAATTTCTGCCTTAGAGGACGTGTCCTTTAAAAAGATAAGAAGGGGCTCTTACTGGCTACAGTGGCTGTGGCAGGTTTGCTGTGACACTCAACCTAACGCTACGTTCTGATAGGCAATAACTGAATTCAGAATGTGTAACTTTGTAATTCATTGAACAATAATGAAAATGAAACATGAAAATGAAATATGGGGCACTTTTATTGTGACTGTGTCTGGCATTGTGGGTAATCGCAGTTGTCCCTTAGCATTTCTGCTTTGTCTCCCTCCGTCTGTTAAAGGTTAAGATATGGTTCCAAAACAAGCGGTCCAAGTACAAGAAGATCATGAAGCACGGCTCGAACGGGCCAGAAGGAGAGCTCCTACACACCACGAACCCCATGTCACCCTGCTCTCCTGGGCTCTGGGACGTGTCCATGGCGAGCAAAGGGGCGCCCACTCACTCCAGCAGCTACATGAACAATTTTGGACACTGGTACCCGACCCACCACCAGGACACAATTCCCAGACCTCAGATGATGTGATGCGTTTATCTGAATTGGCAAAGCTGCACATGAAGAATTCCACCCTTTCATTTCATCACATCTAAATGCGCCCCCACTCCTTTTTACTTAAGAATGGTTTTTAAAAGATATGTATATAAATTTTAATCTTTTTTGTCTTTTATAGTTGGAAGTGTGTCATGCCTTTAAAGGGACATGTTCCTAAGAGACTTCTCTCGTGTTCGAATGCCTGTGTTTTGTTGCTGTTTGTATGAAATGTATAGTCATTTTTTTTGTCCTTAAAATGCCATGCAGAAATTAAATGACGTAATTAGGTAGAAAGACAGGACTTGGAAGCCCTGGTATATGTTTACCTGCGTGGGATGGGATGATTTCGACCCTAGGGGGGGGGCTGATCTTTTTTTCCGTAGATCAGCGGAAAACTGGATCGTCCTTACCATGTGATATTCTAAAAAATAACCATGATAACCAATCTGATAATAAAAGTACATTTATAACTTTAATTGTTTGTGTAATAATTATTTTAAATGATATGAAAATTAACTGAGTCGATCACACAGAGCAAAATCCAGTTTAAACCTAATTTAAGATATATTTCGCATTATTTATTAAAATGATATTCATTCACATTTTTGTAAATTCTTTTAGTGATTTTAAGTTAAATCACCCTGCTGACTTTTTTTAATTATTTGCCAGCTGTTCCGAATCGCACCGGTCGGTATATTGCGGTCATGGTACATGTTTATCTATAGTTCTGCTTAACTGTGATTTAAAGTAAATGCAAATAGGATGAGATTCCACATGCAGAAAAACGCCAAAACCAGGGAACATCGCGTCAGAGAGAGTAAACTGATCAGCACACAGGTGTTTCTCTACAAGACACAATGAACGCCCAACTCCAAATTTACTGAAACTAGTAAATAATTAAATTGGAACATGAATAAAAACACAATTATGGTACATTCACATATTTCTATTCACAAGGGCTGAGAAACTACTGAAATGTTAGTGAGATAGCATCAGACTTGGCTTCTGAGGCGTGAAAAATATGTAGATATATAGTCTCGTTAATCTTATTTGGGTAAACACTTAAAACCGATTATTCCTATATATCTGTAAAAACAAAAAAGATATCAATCATGTTGCAAAAAATCAATCTCCACGTATAACTGGAATTATTTAATAATCGGTGTACATAAACTGTGGTTTACTTAACATCGAGGAAGCCGAGAACCCTTAATTAATATTCTTCAAATACAAGACGCGCCTGTAAATGCGTCAGGGCTTCTAGGGCTTAAAATAAAACTGAAACCAGCTTACTTTGTGTCAGTTTATGCTCTTAATACTGAAATGACTGATCTCACTTGAAGCGTTTTGCTTGAGTTATAAACGTCAAAGTTTAGGTGCATTTTTTGCGATTTTTAAAAAATATACGATACCATTAGGCCTACTATTAAATACGGTTAATAATTTATTTTTAAATCACATTTAAAATTACATTAGTTTTCATCACAACACAACAACGTGTATAAAAGATGATCATGATTTAGAACAGGCTTTCATTTGCTTTGTTACGACGTTAAAGTGTCTGAGTCATATATTTACACCATATAGGCTGCAATAAGCCAGCCGCCAATTAAACAGTGGAAAAATACCAAGTCCTAATACATTTATTTACATTACACACATTATGACAGTACAATTCTTTACACATGCATCTATTATTATTAATCAAGGTATAATTATAGACAACAATGATAATAATGTTCCACATAATAATTATTATGTCCTAAAATAAGTGCTACACTATCTTACACTTAATTGACCAGTGAACTAATGCACAAGTCTAATGTCACATCATAAAGCTGATATGAATATTCTCATTATGTGATCAGGAAAAAATGATTGCCACAAAGTGACGATTAGAGAACGGAGATGAAAACGATGGACTTGCAGTTGAACTCGCGCGCTTTCACGTCAGGTGCAGGGTAATGGGGGAGGGGAGGTCAAAGCTTTTAGCTGCGAAACATCTGGACACGCCGAAAGGATGCTATTTTAAGAATCTTCAATGTTTTATGAAATGGGTTCACCAATTAAGGTAATTTAGGACACAGCTTGTTCCTCTTGTTAAATACGGCTTTCATTCCAACAGTGTAATTACAAGTAATTTACAGCCAACAAAATGTATTTCTTAATGCTGTTTTGTTTCGAATGCAGACATGTCAAAGAGAATCCATTGCTTGATACCTGGGTTTGCCGGTAGAAGTGATTCTGTTGTATCAAATTACTAACAGTTTAATGCAAATAACGGCGAACGAGATCAAACTCGCGAAAATGTTGCGCGAACGTAAAGTTGCCACGTGTCACATTGCCGGTTATTGTTCATTAAAGCGTGTATAGCGCTTGGGGTTTAAGTGCTAAAGTCTGATGTAACAGTACAAATATGTGGCTAACAAACTACATTTCGTATATGATTTTAGCGTACTTAAAAAAAGATAAAAAGCACGGCTTGTCAATATGGTCTGTTAATAGGAAAACGGAAATTCTTGTAACGGAAGGCGGTCCTAGAACTTTTTTCACGTTTATATGCATGTGAACAGGACGAATGGAAACAACATCAAATCGTTGGCGTTACATTATAACGGTGTTTGTGTTTAATTAATATAAAATAAGTAACAAATAAACAAACAAAAGTATCGGTAAATAAATATGTAGGCCTACGTATACCAGTCGTTTGGATTTTTCATTTTTGTAAATGAAATGACAAACTGAAAAGCCGTCACACTGTAGGTTCGTTGTTTACAAAAATAACCTTTAACAAAATGTAAAATTAATTTTACGTTACGTTATATTCAGAATAGGACTAAAATACGAAGGATTTGGTTGAAATTATATTGATGAAATTATTCCTGTTTTGTAAAATGTTGTACAACGACCAAGATAAATGGCTGCTTTTATTCTCCAAGAAACTGGCGTATGAACTGATTTGCGAATTGTACAAATTAAATTGTTGAAAAAGAGAACAAGCTATTTAAATTTGATTACTGTTGATTTATACTCGCAGCCGTTCCAGAAATTTAAATCACCCCAGGAATTAATTACAATTAGATATACCTAACTAATCCCTATCATACCTCTACATACAAATGTACATATACATACTATTCTATATATCAAATATACGTCTACTATACATACTATTTAATGCTATAGGAATGGTTATTATTATTATTATTATTATTATTATTATTATTATTATGTTGTTGTTGCTGTTGTGTTATTATTGTTAGTGGCGGTGTTAAACTTTTATATTCATTACTGGGTTTTCTTAAGTATTTTGACTCTGAAATATATACAGCTGCACATTTTTTTCAGGCTTACGTCGAGTCTGGGTTAAAGTATAGCAATATGCAACCCTGGAGCACTAATCTCCCGCGTAAGAATGGTGTATTATGGTGTAACGATGATTATAACAATTATATTATTATTATGTGATTTATTTTGTGACTGCCCTGAACACACTCGTCTAAGAAAGGACTCCATTAATATGTGTCGTCCTCAATATAGAGTGATACAATGTAATGTTTTGTTAGAATTGCGAATTGAAATTTGAATGCCTGGTAGATACAACGATAGATAGATAGATAGATAGATAGATAGATAGATAGATAGATAGATAGATAGATGTACTGATTTCCAAAAAGAGCGTAAATTTAAAGCAGTCGGAATTTTGACGTATTCTTAGGAACAAAGTTGCATCGTAAAACCGTTTGCACGGGTGACTCGCTTTGTTCTTCCTTAGGCTGGCAGTTAATTTCATCGTTAAGCTTTCTGTATTACGGCGAAGACACTGACAGACGTAATTTATTGCAGTGCTATAATATCCTCATTGGTGGCTTTATAAAGTATACAACACTTTTCCTGACAAACATGATATGTGAAAAGTTAAGACAACCCAGGGTGCCCTTGTTTAAAAAGGTAGGCTATCTGATATATTGAACTGTTTTATTTTATATACGTAATTACGTTTGACGGACTGTGCTGTGTTAAACGTAACATGAGATCTTTATGGAACGACCGGTCTCTGCTGTGCAGACGAGCGAAAAATGCGGCTGTTCATTTGCATTGTGTAGCCTGTAATACAGATGTGCATACCTTTACTGTGTCATTTTGCTATGTATTCACTACACCTGTGATGTCAATGTAACAGAGTGTTTCATATATTGTCACTTAAACGTGTATTTCCGACTAATATTATAGGTAGGCCTATACTAGAATTAGAAGACAATTATGCGGTTGAATAAAAGGGTTTACAGGTGTGGATCGATCATTAGGAGAAAATTATGCGACTTCCTGAATTTAGGAAATGTTTACTAGAAGTGGAGAGGAGTTATAATGCAAAACCTGTGCCGTCTGCCTGTCCCAGGTTTGTCTGATCTTAACTTTAAAAAAATGAAACCCCGCCTCACGCCTGTACTTTATACCATCGCGATAACTTGACAGACTACTTTAGCAGAATCTGAGGTATACCGCGGCTAAGGAGCTTCCACTCGGGACACCCCCCCCCCCCCCCCAGCCCCGTGCGCTTGCCGCCCCCGTTTCCCGCTCCCTGTGAAACGTGAAGGTTGAGGAAACATCAAAGTCCATATTATCAAAAGCGGAAAGAATTTTCTTTTTATCACGAAGGTTTAAAAATGCGTTTAGACAAACTGAGCAAGGATTTTTAAACAAATGCAGCGTCGCGGGGTCTGGAGCCTATCCAGTGAGCTACGGGCACAAGTTGGTACAGAAAATGGATGGATGATGTTAAAATCCAGTCGAATTTTTTGCACAGTGGGGTAATGCAGTGTACTGGTGAGCCCACTCGAGTACGAGTGACAAAGGAGAATCTAGAGTTTTCCAAGCGGATCCAAAACCATGCATTTGTTGAGGCATTATAGGCTATGTGTATGTGTGTGCGTGTTCAGTGGGCAACATTCCTCAGGTTGAACTGTCACTCGAGCTTCATGTTTGTCCGGTTTTAGATAGCTACATATTACACAATTTAATCCCGCCCATTAGATTATTTTATCCTCTATAGCGGCGGGTACGTTTTTAAAGCAGCGAAACAATACAGTGTACCTGAATATTTTTCCGCATAATATTGTATTACAATATATTAGCCAACCAATGTAATACAAACTGTGTCTAGTTATGTGTATTGCATATTCTTTATTTACATTAAATTCACAACTGTGAACAGTTATCCCACGCTGTGGAAATCTGAAAATCTATTTCTTCTTCAGATCAGATTCTCATGACAGTGAAAATGTCAGGTATGAAACAAATGAACTATGAATTCACATCTTACAATAGTTTAGTTCTTCCATGAAAGAAACAGACCAGGTCCACATATCTTCTGAATTTCGTCCCAGATTAAATAACATACCCTCCCTTCCATGTTTCTTAGTCCAGATATCTTCTCCATATCCTCTGTGCATGAATATTTGTATTATGATAACTC